CACACACACACACACACACACACACACACACACACACACACACACACACACACGATAATCAACTTTGTAAAGATATAGTATTCGTCAATCCTTTCCTTTATTATGTAAAATAAGTTTAATTAAGTATTTTATTACCTTCTTTATTTTGATTCGTTCATACTATTCCTAATAATTTATTGATAAACTTCTTTGGTATTGTGTTCGTATTGCGCTAATTGTTAACTTCTAACTTGTAACGTGGAAACATTGATTACCTGCGAGACAGGCTTAGTCTAGTGCAGGAATCAAGACCAATTCTCTGTACGCTGTATACGCTGCAACAAGTTGTGTTTCTTGTGTTGTATTTAATTTCTAATTTATTATGTATCTACCTGCACAATTCTGATGTCAAATAAATTTGATTCTACTTTTCATCTTTATTTTATGATTTATCTCAAGTTAGGGAAACTATATTATATAACTATAGTTATACTATGAGTGTCAGATTAATTTAGAAGCACTTTAGAAAATTTCGCTTCTAAACCCGGGGCCTCTTCATCTAGGGCCCGCATTGTTAATCACTAGGCCACCGAGGTCGTCAAATAATGATAATCATGATAATAATAAAGTACCATTATGATTAAGTTTAAAGGGCCCATTCACTACCTGTAAAGCAGTCCGCCACGCAGGCAGACTGCAATGCAAGATAATGAATTTTGAACACCCTGAGACAAAAGTTGACAAGTCCCATGTACAGCGACCTTACCCTTCAAAACCTTCAGTTTGTGGAGCGGGGGCCCTAGTTTGGCACACAGGTTTGAATCCTGACGGACCTGTGATATTGTTCGTGTTCGATCGATATATTAATATTATTATAATAAAGTAATCCGGCAATATGTACATATTGCTGGATTACAATAGATATGTAAATCTAATAAATTTATCGCAACGCCCTGCCACAGTACATACGATGTTATTATATCTGTACACAATGTAATAAGTAAATAAAAAATAAAAAAACATTAACGAGATTTGTTTAAAGCGAAAAGCGACGATGTCAAGTGCAGTGTCACCATTTCCTCTCGAGGAGGAGTACCAGAAGGACACGGGCATCACTCCAGAGGATATACGAAAGCTCAGAGAATGGTTAAAGACTCAGCCCCATCTTCCAGCCGATTATATCACAGGTAATTTGTCCATACTTAATAATATCTAATAATAGGTCTATCGTTCAAGTCCAGGAAGACAAAATAAAAAATGGTTTCCAACTGCGAAACTAAAATTTCAGTATTTTTAAAGATTGCCTAGAAAAAATGGTTATTTAAGTGTGTTTACAGTCTGTCTTTTTTGAAGTAAAATGTCATTTGCACGGTTGCCAGTTTTCGTAAAATTTTAAATAGTCATGTCGTTGTGTCGACAATTTTATCGATAGATTGTGAAAATAGGTAAAAGCTTGCCAAAAATGTCTGATTTGTGAATGTTACCACGTTCTAAGGATTACTAATTACGTTACTGTATTCTTTATTCTTATTTTGACTGTTGGTCTATTAGTATCGAAATCAATTTTAGTCATACATATTTTAATAGATAACGACATGCGGATTTGATTATGTATAAATTCAAATGAAAACCTTTAACATATGTCTCCTATTTGTATTTTTTATACACATACCGCTAAATTTAGTATATGTATGAATTTGCAAAGATTAACAATTCAAATGAACCTGTGCCCAGCAGTTGGAAGCATAATGACGATTAAAATGGACCAAGTTTGGCTATTTATTTCATAAGCGTAACCAACATTCAGTCGATAGTCGATGTAAGGTTTTCGACTGCAATCACTAGCTATTTGCAAGCGGGCAACACTTATGCGCAATGAACTGTCATTTTACTCTATCATAAAAAAGACAGACTATAGGAACTTTGCTTTTGCGGCATGTCAGAATGTCCAGCGGGGGAAACCGCGCCAGGACAGTTGCCGCGTCAAAGGACACGGTGCGGTATCCTCGTGCGATCCTTATGGCCATGCGGCGCTGCACGCCATTGAGCATGGCTCTGCAACGCCGGACGCCCATCAGTCAGTGTGACCAGACAGACGCACCACCCCACCTTATAAACGACGAATTCCCTCTGAAGGGCCCCCCAGGTTGGGCAGCAACCAGTGCAATGCACCCGCCACCCTATCGATCCGGGGAACCAGGCGCCGGAAGTGCTCCTCAAAATCCCAGCGACCGTCCAGGATGAGGCCCAAGTATTTTAAGTACTGCCCCACCTGGACGTCGACTTACTCTACCAGATGCTATGCCAACTAAGCAACGGAACGAACCAGCGGACTTCACGAATTTTTCTATGTGTTTGTTGTCGTGTCTTTGTATTTGGTTTTTCAACGACTTTTCAGCTGTGGCGCCATCTATGAGAAATCTATGAAAGTATTTCGTCACCCAGTTAGGTAACATTACAGCTACCAGCCCTGGCTAGAGCTATCGCTATTAACTGTAATTAAATTTGTATTTAATTGATATTCAATATTTTTTTGGGAAAGTACGCCACTAGTTTGTTATAATTATTAATATAAAGATCAAACACTTAGAAAAAATTCCTTCGATACGGCCGGATTCGAACTGACATCGTCTAGCAAACCGTCCCAGACGCAGTCGAATCCGGCCGGATCGAAATATTTTTTTAACTGTTTGATTTGTGTATTAATAATTATAACAAACTAGTGGAGTAATTTCACAAAACATAATCGAATATCAATTAAATATAATTTTAATTAAAGTTAATAGCGACAGCTCTAGCCAGGGCTGGTAGCTGTATGTAATTTCAATTCAATACAAATTTAAAATTATGACAACTTATAGTGGAGTAATTTCACAAAAAAATAATTGAATATCAGTAAAATATCGTGTCATTCAATAAACTTAATATTACAATAATTATTAAAGTGGATATGTCCCAGTCAGCCGCTGGTAGCTGTAAAGTGGCTTGCTGAATGAAGAAAAACTTTCATAGATTTCGCACAGATGGCGCTACGGCAAAAAAGTTAAAAAGCAAAAGCAAAGATCTGCAATGAGCACAAAGAACAATTCGTAAGATCTGCTGGTTCGTTTCATAGCTCTGTTGGAAGAGTGTCAGCCACAGTATGGTGATGGCACTGGTTTGAGTCCAGCCGGACCGAATTTTTTTCTTTGTGTCCCATCTTATTATTAATAAATATTTCAATGTATGATTATGAAAGACTGCTGCGCTTTGGTAGGAAATTCACAATTAATTTTCGTAAATATTTTATCAGCATATTTCTAACATCTAATTTCTAAATATAGAAAATCTCCTTTTAAGCTGTAATAAAGAAATTTGCCTAAAAAGATGCCTGAAATACAGATACACATTTACTTAGTTTAGGCATCGCAATTTCAGATTAGTTTCTAATCTTAAAATGTATAGCATTCTTCATAAAGTATAATTTAGTTTCCCTTTTTAATGCTTACTATAATATACTATAATAGCTTTATTTACATTTGTTTTATTGTATTAGATTAAGTTATATTGAAAAAAAATTATCTTTTTGTTGAGTGATTGCTTTAGAACAATTCCTATCTTCTTTGCGATATCAAACAACCTGTCAAAGTTCGTTTTCTAACCTGTCAAACAGTGAAACGCAGAAACCTGATTGCGACACGTATTGTCGTTCTCTATAATTGTTACCTGTTGCATTCTATGTAAATAAACTATATAATCTGCTAGCTTTTCCTTATTTGTCATTGTAATCGTAACTTTAGTTCTCAGGTACGATTAAATCTTCTTTTGCCATCGTTCTGAAAGGATTTGCCAATTGGCCAGGATATGCCAGACGTATGTGGAACATGGGTAGTAGATCTTACCGGGGGAAAAAATGGGGGCTTTTGAAGTTAGAACCACAGTCTTTACAAAGATTATTTTAATTTGAAGTATATTATGAAGAAAAAACTAAGAAAGAAATAGTGATGAAGAAACTAAGAAATTTATTCCTTATTTTTAATCAAATTACAAAAGACTTTATCTTAAAAATTTCAATAATTACGAATTCAAAGTTCTTGTTCAAAGTGATAGAAGATAATGAGATTTAAGTGAAAGTGAAAACATAAATATTATCTCCCGCCGCTTAAGACAATTTAAAAAACCCAAATAAGTGAACTAAGTCATAAACATAATGTATTAGAACCACAATGGAAAATATTACTGAGGATGCCGATAATTAAACGAAGACATGGCTCGAAGACTTGTATCCAAGCCTAAACTCTTAATAAAAAAAGAACTTATGGGGAAGCCTCTCTTCATGCACCACTAACATTGACTTACAAATAAATGGACGACGGGTCTAATACAAACACCACGAAAAAAATGTCCCAAGTCAACCTATTCGAAATTTAAATTGTAATGTCATCGCAGTATCGCGCTGTCAGTAGAACAAATGAAGACTAAAGCGGAGTTCGGCGCTCTGTATACGATTTTAGCGCCTTACAAGTGCGGACACTTTTTAGCGCGGACCCGACGTCCATATAATTGTAAGTCAATGACCACTAAGATTATAGTCCATTGCTGTGACTCCTCTTACAATAAGAGGGCTTGGGTTGCAGTTCTCACGCGGGTCCGATGCGAATAGAGAATTTCACACACATCATTAAATTCCTTTGCAGTTTTTTTTAATGATAATAACGCACATATTCAACATAGCCCTGTGTCGCGGGTGTCATGGACACACACATAGACAACTACAAATTACACCGAAACTCACGAGATAAATAAATGTAAGCTATACAAATGTATCAAACGGCTTCTGCGTGACAGTCCGGCATGGTTACCGTTCCGCCACGGAGACAGTTTACTTTGCAGATGTGTGCAGGTTTTCTCACGATGATTTCCTTCACCGGAAAGCTCACGGTAAATTTCAAATTAAATTTTGCTCATAAATTCAGAAAACTCAGAGATCCCGTATTCGAACCCGAAATTTGTAGGAAAGAGATGCGACACGCACGTCTTTTTTACTTTTATTGCTTGGACATATTTCTGACCCGCTCAGGCTGATAGCGTGACGATATTTTTGTTGATTCCCTTAAGCCCTTTAACAAGGGTTGGAGGTTTCCAGTGTGATGGGCATGTGTGTGTTAATTTACGATTTCAGCGCATTGGTTGGCGCATGGCTAATCCTTGCTTTGATAGACCCATGTTTAGAAGTGAACGCCGAGGTAGGCGGTCTGCCGTTAAATGGGTTGATGATCTTGACTTGAATTTATTGATTCACACAGAACAGCGTTGTCACTGTCATACCTGTACGATTTCAGTTTATTTTGAAACTGACTTCAAAAAAGGTTCTTAATTTTAAAATTGAACAAAACATTGCACCTCTAAGGGTGGCAAACTAGGGGATGAATCCGGTTTCGCGCACTTTCGGGTAACCGATTTCAATTAAACTTGGCAAATAGATGTAACTCTACGAACATATGAGGTCTTTTTTTTATAAAAACTCATAATTATTTGACGTACAGGCGACAGCTCATCGCTACACATTAACGGATCTTGTTCCGTTGGAATGGAGGCGATGATAGTCGAACAAAAGTATATAGCTTGATGTGCAAACGTGTACAGTACTCGTTAGTTACGTTGGCACCTTACAAGAAATTACGAGCAAATGGTACGCCTGTGTTCGGCTTTATAAGCACAAGTAGTGGTCAGTCAATCAAATATATCAATAATATAATACATAATTAAGACCTACTTCTTTACCACATAATGCAGTAAACGATATTACTATGACTGTACTTTTATTCCAGACATGGACCTGATTCTTGCGTACCGCAGCTGCGACCGCAGCTACGAAGTGTCAAAGCAGCTGCTTGACCTGAACTTCACGCTAAAAACGTTATTCACGGACTTCTTCAAGGATCGTAAGGTCGACCATCGGATTGACGCGGCTTTAAAGTCTATGTAAGTAGGACCTCTTACTACTTCCATCAATTACTTAGGTACATCGGACATATTAATTATAATTCTAACTTTTTTATAAAAAAACCCGACCACAAAAGTTCGTGGAATTACATATATTTGCCATCGAAATTGAAACCGGTTACCGGAAAGTGCGCGATATCCGATTCATCGCCTAGTTTGCCACCCTTAGAGGTAGAATATTTTCTTTAAATTTAAATGAGACCAATACTGAGGTACCCTCTTTCCAACAAAAAAGAATCACCAAAATCGGTTCGCAAATAAAAAGAGAAGAGAAAAAAATAAAAAGAGTAATCGCGTAATATACACACAAAAAGAGTACAGTCAAATTAAGAACCTCCTCCTTTTTCAAGTCGGTCATAAAATAAGCAGAAAACGTGGAGTCATGACAATGATAATGCATTTGTGTTCATCAGTAAATTCAAGTCATCGGCATTATTAAGTTAAATATTTATTATTAAGAATTTCTTATTTTTATTATTTTATGCTTAGAATAATAACGCTTAGAATGATAGTTTCATATCACAAGTGAGGCAAAAATCAAATTCATGTAGGCTAGTTTTAGGTTAATTTTCGGTTTTAGTGAATATTTATATAAAAATACAAGTTGAAACGCGTTACTTCCTTGTGGAATGTGATGTTAGTATCTATTTTATGTTTGTCTGACGTATTTTTACACTCATTTACCGCACATTTCGTCGTTTTTAGCTAAAATTCTGGAGCTGTTCGCGGTGCAAGTTGACATTGAGCACTGAAGACCCGCCCGCTCGTGTAGGCCCTTTGGGCGCGCTTCAATTTGCCTCACTTAGCGTGTGCGGGCTAGGTTTCTATGCGTTATTATTCTAAGATTTTATGTATAAAAATTTTGTAATATTTTTTTACAATCCATCATGGCTTATGCGTTCTTTTCTACATTTTAGTTCCAGTTGTACTAACTATGGAATAATAGCTAGCTGGCTATATGTGGATAAAAAAAAACAAAAAGCCTTGCCAATTTCGAAATTCACAATTGTTGTGCTGTTAAGTTTGGTTGTGAATGATATTTATTCATACAAGAATCGGCTTCGGCTTATAATAGCTTATAATCGTTAGTAACTTCTTATTATCCCTCCTTAATACACAATGTACTTACTATTACTGTAAAATTAAACATCACAATATGATAGTATGAATCTCTATATCGTCTTATAAAACCAACTAGGGGTTTACAATGCGATTTTCCAAGTTTTTCCATCCTCTCTGTGTAGTTGTTTACACTTACTGCTTTTCCATAGAGATGTATCAACAACATACTGACAAAATTCATTGATTTACATTTTATAAGAAATCAATATAAGCACTACGACAAGAAAAGTGGTGACTCTTTGTGTCCGTTACTATTTCAAGTACTATACATGAAAGGGTTAATAACCTACTGTTAATGTTTTAGATTAGTGACACCTTTACCAAGCCGCACCAACGACGGCTACGGAGTATTGTACGCCACGTTTATGAACAGCGACTGGAAGAGTTTCTTATTGCCCGATATTATCAAGTACGTAACCAAACATTAATTTAATTTAATGCAAATAATTTGTAGGGGTGTTATTCAGTCACAAAAACCTACATGAAGCAATGCTACAACAAATTACTGTTTCACCCATGAACATTTATATAATAATAATAGTAATAACGCACACACTCAACATAGCCCCGCACTAGGGAAACCCTGTGTCGCGGGTGCCATGGACACACACATAGACAACTACAAACTCACGAGAGAAATAAATGTAGGCTATACAAATATTTCTCCCGGCCCGCGAATCCAACTCGGGGACCTCTGCGTGGCAGTCCGGTATGGTAACCGTTCGGCTACGGAGGCAGTTATATAAATCCAGTAGGTCACCAAATTACACTTGAAATCAGAGTATAATATCATTGCTTGAAATAGTCACATTTACACAATTTTTAAAACCAAACTGTCTTATCGTTTATGTTATCTCTAACAGAGTAATATTAAAAGAGGTTTTTAGTAAAGTTGTCTTTACATGATTTTCGAACTTATCAAAGGATAGGTCCAAAACAGCTTTTGGAATCTTATTATAATACTGTATACCTTGACCCACAAAAGCTCTGAAGTCTTAACTTCGGTAACACGAGCTTCCATTTATGTCTAGTTTTAAAATTATGTACGTCACTCCGTCTATTAATCTCAATATGCCAATTTTATTAAAAATCTCCCTAAGTGAGGTACGTGAGCTCTATTTATAGATCTCTTTAACTGCGCGCTTCTGCAAAATAAAGTATGATAGCATGAAACAAACGGTTCTGGCTGTGTCAACATCAGAAGTTGCCTGATTTTTCATAAGGCATAAATAGCAGAATTAAGCTTTCCAGCTAGTGCCGATATTGATACTTCTGGTATCGATATGTGGATTCCATTGAAGTTTTGAGTCCAGCTGTATTCCCAAGAAGACAGTGGTGTCCTCCAATTCTAATTGTTCATTATTAAGTTTAATGTCAGTTGCTACATTTTTTACATTAGGCAGCGTAAACATAGCACATTTTGTTTCCTTGGAAAGGGCTTAAGATTGTTTATAGTTAACCAATTTTGAACTTTACAGAGCTTCTATTCTATTCACATGAAATTTTAAATGTTCCAGGACAGTAATAATGGTGATAGACATCTGGCAGTACGAGGAAGGCTCATGGCCAGGCTTCATCATTCTCTTTGATCTAAAGAACATGAGTCTCGGACACCTCACTAAGTTAGATCTTAATAGTGTACGACACTATTTGTATTACTTGCAGGTCAGTTTTTCTTGCTTTTATTGAAGACTGGTACTACAATTATGGCTTTATATAATCTCAGCACAGAGTACTGAAAAACCGACCTCAAAAGTCATTCATAGTTCGACGCCAGTTTAGAGGTGGAATAGTTTCTTCAAATTTAAATGGGACTATTTCTGAGGTATCCTCTTTCCAACAAAAAAATAATCATCATAATCGGTTCACAAATTATCGAGTTATTGCATAACATTCATTAAAAAAACACAGTCGAATTAAGGATCTCCTTTTTTGAAGTCGGTTAAAAAGTAATTATCTAAGAAAGATGATAATTCGTGTGTATAAGAAAATGATTAAAAAATTATACTCGTAATTGCGAGTGTCTGCAATGATAATAATATCAAAAGGAAACAGTGTAATTATTGCTATTACTTTCTACGTAGGCGTGTTGCATGGCCTGTGAGCGGCCATTGATTCCAGAAGACCAGACAGGTTATACTGCGTTCAGCAAACTTTTAAACTCGGGTAATTAAGACAAGGTCTTAGTCTACTTTTAGAAATCTTCTATTTAAGTGGACTGTACTTGCCCAATGATATCGCACTGCTATTACAATAGTGTTGTATCTCAAAATATGTGAAATCCAAGAATCTAACATTTCTGAATGTAAAATTTTATGGTCTACACGTAAATAAAACCGTCTTTAGAATATTGTAAGAAACATTTAAAACATATCTATTTAAATCTGAACGTTTTGTGGGCTAGTTCTAAAATTCTATT